CTGGGATTACAAGCGGGAGCCACTGTACCCAGCTTCAGGCAATGTTCTTTTTTGTTTTGTTTTGTTTTTGTTAGAGATCGGGTCTTGCTCTGTTGCCCACGCTGGAGTGCCATGGTGTGATCATAGTTCACTGAAGCCCTGACCTCCCAGGCTCAAGTAATCCTCCCGCCTCAGCCTCCCGAAAACCTGGGACCACAAACACACACCACTATGCCTGGCTAATTTTTGTATTTTTGTTGAGATGTGGGGGGGTCTCACTATGTTGTCCAGACTGGTCTCAAACTCCTTGGGCTCAAGTGATCCTCCCACTTCAGCCTCCCCAAATGCTGGGATTACAGGCGTGAGCCACTGCACCTGGCCCAGGCAGTGTTACAGGTGCTGGAGGTACAGCAGGGAGCCAGGTCCATGTGGGCTCTGTCCTTGGGGAGTTTACACGCCTGGGCAGCCAGGTGTTACTAAACAGACAGAGACATGAGTTCAGAAGAGTGTGTTTGTGTGTTTTGCTTTAGGAGGGGATGGGTATGGTTCTGGGAGAATGTGACCTGGAGACTGGCCCGTTCAGGGAATGTAGCCAAGCTTCCTGGACGTAATGAAATCTGAGCAGCATTGACCAGTGGAGGGGGTGGAGAAAGAGATGGCAGGGCAAGGGCCTGGCAGCGAGACAGGGTTTGGCGCTGCTGCCAGCTGGGCCCAGTGAGAGAAGGGGATGTTGCAAGAAGAGATTGGGGCAGGGACCAGATCAGGCAGGGCCTCGAAGGCTGTGCTGAAGCATCCGGTCTTTATCTCAAGAGCAATAGGGAGCTATGGAAGGTATTTGAGCAAGGGAGTGATGTGATCTTGTTAATATTATTAACAGGTCATAGGCTCTGGCTCCTGTAGGTATGAGGGAAGAATCTGAGGGCCAAGCATGAGAGTGGGAGGACCAGTATTAGGAGTTGATTGCATTTGAGCCAGGCACGGTGGTTCACGCCTGTAATCCCAGCACTTTGGGAGGCCGAGGCGGGCAGATCGCCTGAGGTCAGGAGTTTGAGACCAGCCTGGCCAACATGGAGAAACCCCGTCGCTACTAAAAATACAAAAATTAGCCGGGCATGGTGGCGGACGCATGTAATCCCAGCTACTTGGGAGGCTGAGGCAGGAGAATTGCTTGAACCTGGGAGGCGCAGGTTGCAGTGAGCCAAGATCGTGCCACTGCACTCAAGCCTGGGTGACAGAGCAATACTCCGTCTCTAAAAAAAAGGAGTTGATAGCGTTTGTCCAAGGGAGAAGTGGGGGCTTGCAAGTCCTCGTGATCTGGCCCCTGTTCTTCTCTGACCTCACCTCCAGCCACACTGGTCTTATTGCTCCCAAACACAGCAGGCCTGCTCCTGTCTCAGAACTTTGGCACTTAAGAGCTGGTGTCTCAGTATGTTGCACAGGCTGGCCTTGAACTTCTGGGCTGAAGTGATCCTCCTACCTCGGTCTCCCAAAGCACTGACATTACAGGTATCAGCCACTGCACCCAGCCCCCAGCAGGTCCTTGATGTAGAGCAGGTGCTTAGCGACCTTGAGGGGTGTGGGGGAAGGACACTCAGGATGTGTGGGACAAATATTTAATGAACTCCAGCTGTGTGCCTCGTGCTGGGGTGAGGGTGGCAAGAACCGTGTCTCCGCCCTGGTGAGACTTACGTTTGCAGGGTCAGGTGGGGGAGGAGATTAAACGGCAAGGCAGGTGCACAGACTGAGGGAGAAATGGAGCAAGGCAGGCGGAGTGGGCACTGGGAGGGAGGGAGGGCGTCAAAGCTGGTGGAAGTGAGAGGAGGCGAGGGTGAGGGAGGTTCCCTGAGGAGAAGGCCAGAGGCTGGTCAATGCCCACATCATTCATGCTCATATTACAGCATGGTTTCTTTTTTTCTTTTTCTTTCTTTCTTTCTGTTTTTTTTTTTTTTTTTTTTTTTTTTTGAGACAGTCTTTATCTGTTGCACAGGCTGGAGTGCAGTGGCTTACTGAAACCTCCGCCTCCCGGGTTCAAGACATTCTCCTGCCTCAGCCTCCCGAGTAGCTGGGATTACAGGCACGCACCACCACACCCGGCTAATTTTTGTATATTTAGTAGAGATGGGGTTTCGCCATGTTGACCAGTCTGTTCTCGAACTCTTGACCTCAGATGATTGCCTGCCTCAGCCGCCCAAAGTTCTAGGATTACAGGTGTGAGCCACTGCACCTGGCCTAAAGTTCTTAACCCTTAGAATTGTAAGAAATTGTTGTTTGTTTATGGGTTTGGGCCTCAGCCCGTCCAGCAGCAAACGCTGGCTCTGTCGGGGGTCATGTGATGCCCTGTGGGCGTGACTCATCCCTCCATTCCTCAGTCTTCTCACTTGTGAAATGGGACTCTCAGCTATGCCTCCCCTATGTAGGTTCAGGAGAACGTTAGAAGGATGAAATGAGCTCATCCGTGTAAATTGCTGAGGACAGGGCTGGACACATACCACGTCCTCCATTCATTCATTCATTCACTCATTCATTCATTCAAAGGATATTTATGAAGCATGTGCTATGTGCCAGGCACCTTAGTGCTGGGAAAGAAACAAAATCAGAAATCTTGACCGTCTCTCATAGGTTTCTGGTGCTGGCGGGAGAGACAGAACATGAACAAACAAGTAAAATATATATGGCCTGTCAGAAGGGAGTGTGTGACACAGAGAAAAGACATCCGGAAGAGGGAAGGGGACTCAGGGGTGTGGGAACTGCAGTTTTATTTTATAATTTTATTTTTTGGGGCCAGGTGCGGTGGCTCATGCCTGTAATCCCAGCACTTTGGGAGGGCGAGGCAGGCAGATTACTTGAGCTCAGGAGTTCAAGACCAGCCTGGGCAACATGGTGAAACCCCGTCTCTACTAAAAAATACAAAAATTAGCCGGGTATGGTGGCACATGCCTGTAGTCCCAGCTACTCGGGAGACTGAGGCAGGAGAATCACTTGAACCTGGGAGGTGGAGGTTGCAGTGAGCCAAGATGACATCACTGCATTCCAGCCTGGGCGACAGAGTGAGACTCTGTTTCACAAAACAAAACGAAAGAAAAAAAAATTTTTTTTTTGTTAAAAAAATAAAGACAGGCCGGGCACTGTGGCTTACGCCTGGAATCCCAGCACTTTGGGAGGCCGAGGCAGTCAGATCACATGAGATCAGGAGTTCGAGACCAGCCTGGCCAGCATAGTGAAACCCTGTCTCCACTAAAACATATATATATATATATCCCGGTGTGGTGGCACATGCCTGTAGTCCCAGCTACTCGGGAGGCTGAGGCAGGAGAATCACTTGAACCCGGGAAGTGGAGGTTTCAGTGAGCTGAGATCGCACCACTGCACTCCAGCCTAGACAACAGAGCGATATTCCATCTCAAAAAAAAAAAAAGAAAGAAAAAGAAAGACAGGGTCTTGCTAAGTTGCCCAGGCTGGTCTCAAACATCTGGGTTCAAGCAATCCTCCCTCCTCGGCCTCCCAAAGTGCAAGGATTACAGGCATGAGCCACTGAGCCCGGCCTGCAGTTTTAAATAGTATAGCCAGGGAAGGCCTCACTGAAGAGGTGACCTCGGATCAGGGTTTGAGGGAGCTGAGGGAGTGTTTACCCAGGACAGTCCCTGTTTATCATTGACACTGTGGCCTGAAAATGCCATGTCCCCAGAAACCCTTCAGTCCTGGGCAAACTGGGACGACTCGCCACCCTAGGAGTGGGTCTTGTGGCTCTCTTAGGAAAAGGCACTCCGGGCAGAGAGAGCAGCAAGTTCAAAGGCCCTGAGGTTGGAACAGGCAAGGTGTGTCTGAAGATACAGCACAGAAAAGGGTGGAGGCCGTTTTGGAGGGGACTCATTTAGATTCCCACTCGGAGAGCCTGCTAGGGTGCCGCCTCGTACCAATTCATCTTAAGTGGCAAAAACAGGCCTTGCCTGGCCAGCTCAGCTGCCCAAGGCAAGTGAGATCAAAGACAGAATTTGAGTTTATCCAAGGTCATGTGTAGTCAATGAACACACACACACACACACAGAGAGAGAGAGAGAGAGAGAATATTTAGGGACTTCCCAGGTGGCCAGGGAGTTGAATTGTAGGAGAGAAGGTGGAAGGAAACAGTGCATTTCTTTTTTTTTTGAGACAGAGTCTTGCTCTGTTACCCAGGCTGGAGTGCAGTAGCGCGATCTTGGCCCCCTGCAACCTCCACCTCTCAGGTTCCAACAGTTCTCCTGCCTCAGCCTCCCAAGTAGCTGAGATTACAGGCATGTGCCACCATGCCTGGCTAATTTTGTATTTGTAGTAGAGATGGGGTTTCATCATGTTGGCCAGACTGTTCTCAAACTCCTGACCTCAGATGATCTACCCACCTCAGCCTCCCAAAGTGCTGGGATTACAGGCGTGAGACACTGTGCCTGGTCTAGAGTGCCTTTCGTGAAGGCCTCATAGAAACCATCTTCCCCTCCATGGATAAAAGAACTTCCTGGCTGGGTGTGATGGCTCACGCCTGTAATCCCAACACTTTGGGAGGCTGAGCGGGGAGGATTGCTTGAGCCCAGGAGTTTGAAGCTGCAGTGAGCTACGATCATGCCGCTGCATTCCAGCCTGGGCCACAGAGACTTCATCGGAAAAGAACTTCATCCCATTTTTCAAAAATATGCAGCCTTCGGGGTCTCTCATCCATTTTCCTGTCTTGATATGGACAGGAATTTGAGTAACATACAAAGACCAAGGGAGAGGGGAACAGAGATAGAGACAAAGACAGACAAGACCCAGGAGAAGAGAGAGAAATCTCTTTCCACCAAGAGACTCCTTGAGTGCTCAGACCCAGCGACCCCAGGGCAAACCAGAGAAGGTGTTACGTTAGATGCTGTCTCTAGCAGTCACTGAGATCAACTACAAACACGCCAGGGAGATGGCTGTCATCCCAGACGTCAGGATGGCTGTGGCTTGTGTTTCAGTGGTCTGGGGAGATGCAGAGCTTGTGTGGCTTACTTGACCTCTTGTCTCCCTAGCTCGCCCTCCCCCACCTGCGGAAGAGCCAAGGGAATGTCATCAACATCTCCAGCCTAGTGGGGGCAATTGGCCAGGCCCAGGCAGTTCCCTATGTGGCCACCAAGGTACAGCAGCAGCCCCTACCCCTTCCTTCCCTCCCTACTCCTTCCCATGGGCCTTAGCTTGGAGTCCAGACACCTTAGGAGCCAAACCTAGCAAGATCTTGGCCCTAGAGAGTCTCACACCCAACTGCCAGATTCAGCACCCAGGCATAACTGCCTGTGATAGATTTCTGTTTTTTTCTTTTATTTATTTATTTTATTTTATTTTATTTTATTTTTTTATTTTTATTTTATTTATTTATTTATTTATTTATTTATTTTTTGAGACGGAGTCTCGCTCTGTGGCCCAGGCTGGAGTGCAGTGGCCGGATCTCAGCTCACTGCAAGCTCCACCTCCCGGGTTCACGCCGTTCTCCTGCCTCAGCCTCCCAAGTAGCTGGGACTACAGGCGCCCGCCACCTCGCCCAGCTAGTTTTTTTTTGTATTGTTTAGTAGAGACAGGGTTTCACCGTGTTAGCCAGGATGGTCTCGATCTTCTGACCTCGTGATCCACCCGTTTCGGCCTCCCAAAGTGCTGGGATTACAGGCTTGAGCCACCGTGCCCGGCCTATTTTTTTATTTTAATTTTTTTGAGATGGAGTCTCGCTCTGTTGCCCAGGCTGGAGTGCTGAGGCTTAATCTCGGCTCACTGCAAGCTCCGCCTCTCGGGTTCACGCCATTCTCCTGCCTCAGCCTTCAGAGGAGCTGGGACTACAGGCGCCCGCCACCACGCCTGGCTAATTTTTTTGTATTTTTAGTACTGATGGGGTTTCACTGTGTTAGGCAGAATGGTCTCGAACTCCTGACCTTGTGATCCACCCGCCTCGGCCTCCCAAAGTGCTAGGATTACAAGCGTGAGCCACTGCACCTGGCCCTTTTTTTTTTTTTTTTTTTCTTTTTTTTGAGACGGAGTCTCACTCTGTCACCATGTAGGAGTGCAGTGGCGTGATCTTGGCTCACTGCAACCTCTGCCTCCCAGGTTCAAGGGATTTTCCTGACTCAGCCTCCTGAGTAGCTGGGACTACAGGAGCAGGCCACTATGCCCAGCCAATTTTTTTTTTTTTTTTTTTTTTTTGGTATTTTTTAGTAGAGACAGGGTTTCACCATGGTAGCCAGGATGGTTTTGATTTTTCTGACCTCACGATCCGCCTGCCTTGGCCTCCCAAAGTGCTGGGATTACAGGCGTGAGCCACCGCACCCAGCAGATTTCTGGTTTTTTGTTTGTTTGTTTTGAGATGGAGTTTCACTCTTGTTGCCCAGGTTGGAGTGGAATGGCAAGATCTCGGTTCACTGCACCTCCGCCTCCCGGGTTCAAGCAATTCTCCTGCCTCAGCCTCCCAAGTAGCTGAGATTACAGGTGGCTGCCACCATGCCCAGCTAGTTTTTTGTATTTTTTAGTAGAGACGAAGTCTCACCATGTTGGTGAGGCTGGTCTCGAACTCCGGACTCGAACACCCGCCTCGGCCTCAGAAAGTGTTGGGATTACAGGCGTGAGCCACTGCGCCCGGCCCTTCTTCTTCTTCTTCTTTTATTTTTTGAGATAGGGTCTCACTCTGTCGCCCAGGTTATAGTACGGTGGCATGATCTCAGCTCACTGCAACCTCTGCCTCACAAGTTCAAGCGATTCTTACGCCTCAGCCTCCCCAGTAGCTGGGATTACAGGTGTGCACCACCATGTCCGGTTAGTTTTTGTATTTTTAGTAGAGATGGGCTTTCACCATGTTGGCCAGGCTGGTCTCGAACTCCTGACCTCAAGTGATCCACCCATCCCAGCCTCCCAAAGTGCTGGGATTATAGGTGTGAGCCACTGCGCCCGGCCCTTCTTTTTTTTCTTTTACATTTTGTTTTGTTTTGTTTTGTTTTGAGATAGAGTCTTACTCTGTCGTCCAGGTTGTAGTTCGGTGGCACGATCTCAGCTCACTGCAACCTCTGCCTCACAGGTTCAAGGGATTCTCACGCCTCAGCCTCCCCAGTGGCTGGGATTACAGGCGTGCACCACCATGTCCGGTTAATTTTTGTATTTTTAGTAGAGATGGGGTTTTGCCATGTTGGCCAGGCTGGTCTGGAACTCCTGGCCTCAAGTGATCCACCCATCCCAGCCTCCCAAAGTGCTGGAATTACAGGTGTGAGCCACCGCACCTGGCCTTCCTGTGACAGATTTCTATGCCAAGTTTCTCCCAAGAAACCAAGGCTGGTGCCTCTGAAGGCAGCCTTCAAGGAGGGCATGACTTCCCCATTCTGATGCCCCCCCTGGCAGGCAGGAGACAATGGATGGCAGGGACCCCATGTCCGGGGGACTGAACTTTCTTCCCCGCTCCGTTTTCTGCAGGGGGCAGTAACAGCCATGACCAAAGCCTTGGCCCTGGATGAAAGTCCATATGGTGTCCGAGTCAACTGGTGAGCTGCTCTGAGCAGGCCGAGAGCCTTCTGGGGGAACTGGGGTGACTGGGAGTGATCCCAAGTGATTCAAGACAGATTTCTTTGATCCCCTCTTTCCCTTCCCCCAGTATCTCCCCAGGAAACATCTGGACTCCACTGTGGGAGGAGCTGGCAGCCTCAACACCAGACCCTCGGGCCACAATCCTAGAGGGCATGCTGGCCCAGGTAGGAGTGGGGTTCAGATCCAGGTGGTAGAAGGTGGCTTGGGGGTGGGGGACATGGCGATCAAGTGGGGCTTCTCTTGATCTCCTTCCCCCCTCTTTTCTCCCCAGCCACTGGGCCGCATGGGCCAGCCCGCTGAGGTCGGGGCTGCGGCAGTGTTCCTGGCCTCCGAAGCCAACTTCTGCACGGGCATCGAACTGCTCGTGACGGGGGGTGCAGAGCTGGGGTACGGGCGCAAGGCCAGTCGGAGCACCCCCGTGGACGCCCCCGATATTCCCTTCTGATTTCTCTCATTTCTACTTGGGGCCCCCTTCCTAGGACTCTCCCACCCCAAACTCCAACCTGTATCAGATGCAGCCCCCAAGCCCTTAGTCTCTAAGCCCACTTAGGAAGGTACCAGGTCACCTGCAGGTTCCCATAAAAGCAATTTGCAGCCAGAAGGAGGAAGACATCGTTATATTTATTTCCCACCCTTTAGACGAGTCCTTCTGCCCACTTAGCCCCTGCACCCCAGACCCACAAGTTGCCTCTACCCTGAAGGACTGCAGCTCCCCCCCCCCCCACAACGCCAGGCCTTGCAGCAAGCAGGTGCCTGATGTTTGCTAGCCCTGTCGCTGTCGCCAGGGGCTCCTGGGAAAGGTAGAGCGGTTTGGCTTCACCAGCGCGCTAAAGGCCCGCAGGGGAGAGTAAATTAAGCGCAGTTAGGAGGTAATGGAGGGGGAGGCACAAAAGGCCCTCCTCCTTATTCTTGGCCCTTAGGGAAAAGGAGTCTTCCTCTCGGTGCCTGGGGAATAGGAAGGTGGTTGGCAAGAAAAGTCCAGAGGGAAGAGAAAGTGGGGGGTTGAGACATCTGGATCAGAGGGAGAAGGGCCTGAAACTCCTGGGTTTTGGGTCCGCAGGGCACTGGGGTATGCAGACTCCCCAGCTGGACCCAGGAGGGGCGCAGGGCCCGGGCGCGCTAGCGTCCCGCGGGTGAGGGGTGGAGCTGCAGGGCTGCTGCGGATTGGCTGTGGCGGGGGGGCGTGTGCGCCAACCGCTGATTGGCCGCGGCGGGGGCGGGAGCTGTCCGTGGGCACCGCCCCTATAGCTCGGGGCTGGCGGTTGGGCAGGAGGACCCGGGTGGAGCGCAGAAAAACAGGGCGAGGCCCTGCGGGGGAAGGGTCCCGCGGTTTGGCTGTTCGGGCCTGTGGCTGTTGGGCTGTTGGGGTGGTAGGACAGTGACCCGGGGACAGGACCTGGGGGCACTGTGGGTGTAGAATTTGGAGACAGAGTGTCCCAGGGTAGGATTGCTGAGACACAATGGCCAAGGGATCCGATTTTTGTTGTTGTTGTTTTTTTAATTTGAGACGGAGCCTCACTCTGTCGCCCAGGCTGGAGTGCTATGGTGCAATGTCGGCTCTCTACAACCTCCGCCTCCCGGGTTCAAGCGATTCCACTGCCTCAGCCTCCCGAGTAGCTGGGATTACAGGCCCACCGTACCACGCCTGGCTAATTTTTGTATTTTTAGTAGAGACGAGGTTTCACCATGTTAGCCAGGCTGGTCTCGAACTCCTGACCTCAGGTGATCCACCCGCCTTGGCCCCCAAAGTGCTGGGATTACAGGCGTGAGCCAGCGCGCCCAGCCGGGGACCTGATTTTAGTGCCACAGTAACCCGTAGGTTTTGGGGGCACAGTGACAGAGGAGCACAATTTAGGGGGCGGTGCCGCAGGTTTGAATTGCTAGAGGTCAGAGGCATCCTGAAGGGTAGTGATTGGCGAACTCTGCCTCTGGGGTCCTGATGCTGTGGAGATACTCCTGGAGGGATAATCAGGAAGCCCTGCGCTGGGGACTGTTCTTTGAGGCTCACCTTGGAGTGCAGGATTGACAATTTTCAGGCTTCTCAGATGAAAGGGGACTGGAAGGAGCCCTGGTGAACCGTTGTGTGTTTTTACCTTTTAAAGAGTCAAGCCAGGCGTGCTGGCTCACGCCTGTAATCCCAGTACTTTGGGAGGCTGCAGCGGGGGGATCACGAGGTTAGGAGTTCGAGACCAGCCATGACCAACATGGTGAAACCCCCGTCTCTACTAAAAGTACAAAAATTAGCCGGCTGTGGTGGCAGGCGCCTGTAATCCCAGCTACTCAGGAGGCTGAGGCAGGAGAACTGCTTGAACCCGGGAGGCGGAGGTTGCAGTGAGCCGAGATCGCGCCACTGCATTGCAGCCTGGCCTACACATATATCTTTTTCGTTGACAGGAAAAAATATTGGAATAGAGCAGTATCCAGGCGCAAAGTGAGGCTGCCCTTTATCCATACCTGCAGCCTTCTTCAAAAGCCCTTCTACGAAGCATCATTCCTGTTCCTGTGCATTTACGTGGTGTCCGCGCTGCTGCTGTTTACCATGTGCTTTTCCCTTTCACAAAGGGATCGTGATACACGGAACGTCCTGCACCTTGCCTTTCCCTTCCTTTACCTCGGGCTGCTTATGCTTGCCAGTGCTCCGCGACAAGAAAATGCATTTTTGCTCCCAAGGAAATGCTTTTTTGAAAACTTGCATGCACGTTAGTACCTGGCTTGAGTGTGGTTGGAACACAGCCTGGGTGGGGACCGTATTTCTTTTTCTTTTTCTTTTTTTGAGACAGAGTTTCGCTCTTGTTGCCCAGGCTGAAGTGCAATGGCGCAATCTCGGCTCACCGCAACCTCGGCTTCCCAGGTTCAAGCAATTCTCTTACCTCAGCCTCCCAAGTAGCTGGGATTACAGACGTCTACCACCATGCCCTGCTAAGTTTTGTATTTTTGGTAGGGACGGGGTTTCACCATGTTGGCAGGCTGGTCTCGAACTCTTGACCTAGGGCGATCCGCCCGCCTTGGCCTCCCAAAATGCTGGGATTACAGGCGTGAGCCACCGCGCCTGAGTTTTTTGTTTTTTGTTTTTTCTTGTGAGACGGAGTCTCACTCTGTCGCCCAGGCTGGAGTGCAGTGGCGCCATCTTGGCTCACTGCAACCTCTGCCTCCTGGATTCAAGCGATTCTCCTGCCTCAGTTTCCCGAGTACCTGAGATTACAGGCGTGCGCCACCACGCCCAGCTATTTTTTTTGTATTTTTGGTAGGGACGGGGCCAATTTTTTCTATTTTTAGTAGAGACGGGGTTTCACCATGTTGGACCAGGCTGGTCTCTAACTCCTGACTTCAGGTGATCCGCCTGCCTCGGCCTCCCAAGGTGCTGAGATTACAGAACTGGGCCACCTCGCCTGCCACCTCCAAGACCTGCCCTCACACCAGCGTCTGAGCCCCGCAGCAGGGTTCGGCTCCCTTCCGGCGCCCTGGAGCTGGGGAGGCTTGGGGCGCTGGGCGGACGCCTTTCCCCAGGAGGAGGCGTGAGCGGGGCGTGGCCGGAACGTCTCTCCTCGGGGCCGCGCCCCGGGCGGGCACAGTTACGCGCCGCACGGATCATGGCCGCAGCCGCTCTGGGGCAGGTGGGTTCGCAGCCCCGCGCCGGGTCTGGGGAACCCCCGGGAGAGGCGCACTTCCGGGAGGATCACTGGCCTGCGGCCGGTCCGGCTCGGCGCCGCTCCTCCCGCCCTGGGGTTCCGCTGTGGGGCGCGGAGGAGGATGGCGCCCCTTGGAAAGGAGCACCAGGTTTTAATGGGGTGAGGGGGAGCGGGTAGACGTGAATGAAGTGGGGCAAGTAATTGGTGGGGAGGTTAAAACAAAATGGGAAACATGGAGGGGCACCCTGTAATGAGGGAGGCGTGGGGGTGGGGAGGTTGTGATTTGGGGAGTGGAGCCCTGGGGTGCGGTGGGGCATCAGCCTGTGGGGTCGCTGGAATAAAGGGGCCCAGGCCTCGAGGGCCGGGGACAGGTGAGCGCGGAGTTGAACCTCAAGTCCCAGCTGTGGGAATTGGACCTAAAGTCCTATTTTCTTGGAATGAAAGTTGAAAAAAATGGAGATGGGGATTGTTGTGATCCCAAACTCCTATCTGAAGCTCTGCACCTGGATTGGAAATCGAGGCCGTGTCTCATGGTGAAAGTGATATAGATGCTGCAGGCTAGCTGAGATGATCCCTTCTGACTGTGCGATGTCAAACAGCAGCAGCGTTTCCCAGAGTCTATGATTTCAGAAAACAAGTTTTCTCAGTGAGGAAGGAAACAGCCAAAGAACGGGGTCGTTACAAGCCTTCACAGCTGCGGTGTAACCTTCCTTGGGAGAACTGTCTCTGTTAACTTTACACCTGACTTTATTTGAGTCTCTTATCCTAGCTGATGAATGTCAGGGCAGAGTTTCACTTTCTTCGGCTCTTTGTGACTGATAGGGATAATCCTGGGATGCCTGGGGTATGTGGGCAATCTGGGCTTTAGTGGTGACACTCCTGGACTGTGGGTGGGACAGTACTGGGTTTTGACGGGTACACTTGGGACTGATGTGGACCGTCTCATCATGGCACAGTTCTGGTGTCATAGGATAGCCCTGAACTCATGGGACATTCCTAGGCTCTGATGAAGACAGAGATATCCTGTAATGGAGATAGTTGGGCTGAGTCCTCAGCTATGATGAGGACAGTCCCCGGGGTGTGGAGGGAACAGTGCTGGACCATGGTAGGGACAGTCTCGAAGGTACTGGCCTAGACAGCAACATAGGGATAGTCCTGGGGATTGAAAAGGACAACAGTGGTTTTTTTGTTTGTTTGTTTGTTTTAATTTCAGACCTGGTGAATAGGAAATAAGCCCTGGTATTTGACAGAGGCAATGCTGGTTATAATGGGGAAAAGTGCTGGGCTTTGGAGGGGGACATTCCTGAGCTGTTTGGGACAGTACTTGGCTCTGCTGGGGACCAGTTCTGATGAGTTACAGGCACAATCTGGGCTTGTGATGTGGAGCATCTTGGGCTATCATAGAACAGCCCTGGTCTCTGATGGGAGAGTCCTGGGCTATAAAGGGGGCAGTTCCAGACATGATGGGGTCATGTGTGGGCTGTGACAAGGGCAGACTGCGCTATGATGGGGTCTCTCCTGGGCTGTGATATGGGGACAGTCCTGGAGTATGGAGGGCTGGGCTTTGACAGGGACACTCCTGGTCTTTAATGGTGATACTCCTGGGCTGTATGGGACATAATGGAGGTTCTGTCACATTATAGAAACCTGCCCTGTGCACCCCCAAACCTACTTTATTTCTTTGTCCCTTTTTTTTTTTTTTTTTTTTTTTTTTTTTTGAGACGGAGTCTGGCTCTGTCACCCAGGCTGGAGTGCAGTGGCCGGATCTCAGCTCACTGCAAGCTCCGCCTCCCGGATTTACGCCATTCTCCTGCCTCAGCCTCCCGAGTAGCTGGGACTACAGGCGCCGGCCACCTCGCCCGGCTAGTTTTTTTGTATTTTTTAGTAGAGACAGGGTTTCACCGTGTTAGCCAGTATGGTCTCGATCTCCTGACCTCGTGATCTGCCCGTCTCGGCCTCCCAAAGTGCTGGGA